TAATCTAAGTTATATATATATATACACATAACATGCGTACTGTTTTGATGCTAAATGTACATCAAAACAGTACGCATGTTATGTATATATATATAATTTAGATTATATTGTCTAGCATTGACCAAGTATGGGACTAAGATGCGTACTGTATTGATGCTAAATTTGATTCGCTAGCTAATATAGGGGTGTGGATAATTATGGGAAAAGTGTAAAGTTAAATGCTAAGTTTGACCAAACCCAATGTCTCTATATATATGCCTAAGTCTGTCCTTTAGTGTGAAAAAAATGAAGGTTATATACAATTAACACGCGTTTAACCATTAAAATGAGGCATTGTGGTTTGGATTATCTGTGACGAAACGAAAACCGGATAAAGACTTTAGAACAACCCGATTAATTATTAATCCTTGAAAGACAATATATATTTACATCGAAAACAATTTTCCAGTGTTAAAATTCACCTTTTTAGGAATATTGAAAATGCTTTGGATGGGAATATTCTCTTTGGATTATCATAAAAGTGTGTGGTTTGGTATGTAACTAGTGAAGTGGGAGAGACATTTTCTTTGCAGAAAGATAGTTTGATTTATATTGTAGTGACTTTTTTGACAATTTCTGGAGTGCAAGTAATCTCCAGAGTAGTTTTCACATGATGTGAGAGATCAACAATATATCTTGATGCCTCAGTTTGGGTATTCAAGGACTCAAAAGTTTTTTAAATAGGCATATATGTTGTGTTTATATATTTAATTTACATGTTAAATTTTAAAAAATATAAGTTAAAAGAAGACAATTAAAGAAAAAATAATTGACACCTTAAATATAAAAAAAGGCCCGGTGTATGGTTTTTGCCTAAAATTGAATACACTAATGAATATATATGTGTATTATATATATAGACTCTACAACCTACAAAAGATGATGGCCGTATAGTAATGCACACGTACAGCTGGTTGGTTCTTAAAAGTTTGCAGCCCCACCATGTACTTTTTGGACTCCAATAACCATCTAAGACCATGAAAACCTTTAATGCTAAAATACAGATCGGATTGTCTTCTGTGAAAATACGCAAAAGTGAAAAAGAAAAAAGAAAAAATCTTCTGCCCTCACCAAAAGTGACCTGAATTATTTGGGGTTACAAATGCAAAAAGGATCCTTTCTAAAAGATGGCCCAAAAAAAAGAAGAGGAAAGAAGAGAAAAGAAAGAAGAAGATCTTTTCGGTCACCGGATCACATTTGAGAATATTATTATTATTATTGATATTATTTATTATTATTAGACAAAATTATAAAAAAATTCCTAAATTATTGGTTAGTTGTAATATGACGCCTGAAGGGTATTATGATGAATATTGTACATTTATGATATTTTATAATTTTTATATAAATTAATAAGGGGATAAGGGGGGTACTTTGATATTTTTGACCCTTTCGGTGCTGAAACATGTGATTTGGTGAGCGGGAGAATCCTTTTTACAACATTGGTATAAACGAGGGTTCGACTTGCTGTTAGGATATGTGTGCCCTAGCATAGCAAATTCTAATTTTGGATTGTAAAAGTCATTATTTCTTATTTGGATATTATTATTAAAGCATTATACAATTGGTGAATGAAATGTATTATTTTTCGATTCTTTATGGAATTGATGGTGTCTACTTGATTACAAAATATATTTATATTTATATATGTATGTAATGGCAATTAATACTATGATATAAATTAGTAATCATAAATGGTTTAAAGTCGGTAATTATAGATGGACATTTAATTAGTTAAGACTTAAACCGAGTTCATGATAGATTGAGATATATTGCGAGAGCTGTCGTATGCAATTGCTCTCTATCACAGTTATGGCTTTTGACTCTCAAGTATGAGAGAAGTATAGACTCTTTTATTGATTAATAATTACTTTGATTTGTTCGGCGGATACCTCGGGATCCTTAGATCGATACTTTGGGTAGTTATGTAATTAATAATTAGAGGTCTATATTCTCAATATTTGCATCAGTGCTATTTGCATTTATTTTGTTTTGATTATGGTTGATCACAAATTAAATTCGAAGGCCTTCGTATGTTTTAGACAAATGTTTTCTATATATATTTATTTAATAAATTATTATTATTTTTTGTCAAATAAATATTTTATTGTGATCGAGCCGGAAATAATCAAAGGTAACAAAATAGTTATATTAATTATGTTGTCGGATTGATGGCTTTAATTATCCGATAAATAATTAAGCATAGAGGGGTCAAAATGCAACATTGACTTAGAGGTTATTTACTATTTAATTGGAGTGCAATTAATTTTTTTTAGTGGAGTAGAAATTAATTTATGAATTAATTGAATTGGGTCCATGGTTTAATGGACCGGACCAATTATTAATTTATAGGAGCCAAGAAAATAGTAAGCCCAAAATGATTCTCACCAATAGCCCAAGTTGATATTGGAGTCATGTTAGGATTGAGAAAGTTGAATTAGAGATGGAGAATGATTTATTGTTTCTTTATTCTTATTTTTATTTTGCCTATATATACATGAGTTCATGTATATTTTAGGTGGGACTTGGAGAACAATAAAAAGGAATACACTTTCTCTCTCTAGATTTTAGGGTTTTGTTTTCTCTTCTAAAGGAGGCTACCACCAGCCTAAATTCTAAGGTCATTCATCAAGGCATATTGGTGATTCCTAAAGGGAAGATAATAATCTAACGGAAGGAGAAATGATCTTGCTAAAGGGATCTACAATAAGTGAGAACATTCACTTTAGAGGAAAGTTCAAAAGGTTTACTCACACCTTTGATGTAAGTATTTAATCTGTTTATTGAATTATGCATCATCTTTTATTTATCTTTGCATAAAACTTGTCTCTGTGTGATGAATCAAGATCCGTGATTGTAAATCTCTCAAAATTTTTAAAAACTTGCATGTTTCCCAACACTTGCAACCCCAAATAGTTCAGGGAGTATTTTTCACTTTTGATGATAGTTCTAAGATTTTTTTTACACTTTTGCCTTGAAAATAATATATAAATATAGGTACTCTCTAAATTTGAATCCAGTTAGGAGTTAGACTCAAGCACCATTGACCCGTTTGAGTCTATGACCGGTCTACTTTTATTGCAATAAAATACAATATATATAAAGACATAAGCGTAATTACAAACTCAATAAGTCTAACGAGGGTGATGTCAGTATAATTTAACAAATAAAAAGAGAGGTAAGTGTCAATATAATTTATCCTAAAAATAATTATCTGATACTTGGAAATACTGAGAATGTAGCACCTTCAACAAATAACAGAAGATTATAGAATTATGTTAATTTTATTAACAAATGAAATATTGAATAGTGAGTGTTTATGACAGAGATACTTCTAGAATATTTAATATTTTTTCATATTTAAATTCAATAAATAAATAGGTCCGATTTTTTTTTTTTTTTTTTTTTTTTTTCAGGACAACATAGATATTTTGAAACATCTTGAATGGAAAGCCAACTCACTCGAGTTTTTTCCAACCCAGTGAGTTGACCCAGCAACTACGCAATGATGTCATTTCTGTCACTTTTTTTTTTTTTTTTAATCACCTTTCATGCTTTGTTTGACTCCTTTACACGAACTTCACGATTCTAGCTACAATTATTTAACATCCAGTATTCACGAAATTTACAAATATATCACAATCTCACGCGCTTGCAACGATTGTAAACCACTTCCACACAGAAAATGAAGGAAAAAAATATAGCGAGGCTGATATATTTTGAAAAAATTATAAAAAAAAAGTGAACTTTGGGAGGTTTTGTTACCACTATTCATTTGCCCAAATTATCATTATTATTTTCGGGTATCACTTTTGTGAAGATAAGTATTACTTTTGTGTATAGGGACACTATTTTTGTGCATATAAATATCACTTTTGTGATCAAATGTGCAACTCTTGTAATTAAAAGTATCACTTTTGTGCATAAAAATACCACTTCTTTGTAGGTAAGTATTACTTTTGTACAGAGGTATCACATCTATGCATACAAGTACTACGTATGTATATGTAAGTACCACTTTTGTGCACAAATATATCACTTTTTGTGCATATTATTTTGATTACTTGAGTTGAACAAAAATGGTACCCGTGTGTACAGAAGTGGTATTTCTGTGCGTAAAAATGGTACTTATATGTGTTGGAAGATGCTAAGGGTAGTTTAGATAAATGAACAATGTTTTTTCATATACGCCTCAAATTTTGGTCAAAATCTATGAATTTGAAATATATGGACTTTGACTCCATCTCTGAATAATAAAACCTCCCAAAGTCCAAATTGAATATAAGAAGGTTAAATTAGTAATTATATACTAAAAAAAAAAGCAGTTTCACTTTTTAATTGAGATATTTATTTTCGGACACCCAAAAATAAAAAAAAGTGATACTTTGGATCCAGTGGAGTAATTATAGTAACAACTCATTAGACCATTGCTACAACAATCAACCAATTATTTATATTTATGCCAACCAAGCAGCGCTAATTTTCAAATCAAGTTGATTATTTAGTGGTTAAAATATAGTATCCAATTACTCCCTTTGTCCAAAAGAAAAAAAAAATTTGTCATATTTTTTTTTTGGTCTGTCCTAAAATAATTATCGCTTTCTTTTTTTTAAACAATATAGTTTACACTTTTTCATATATATCTTTGGAGTTTAATATTTCAAATTTGAATACTAAAAATTTAAAAGGGTAAATTAGTAACTTTGTAGGGAGTCAAGGAATGTCCCATATGTCCATTTAAAAATTCATACCTCAAAAAACGACATTTAAATTACCTTCCAAAAAAAAAAATCACATTTAAATTGAGACGGAGGGAATATATCATTTACCCTACACTAATAAAGCAAATATAGCACAAAATTGACTTTGATATCGCCGCTCCCCAAACTTATATTTCCAATTTCTCAATGTCACCTCACAGACATTTCATGTGCCTCTATATATTTACTATATGCTCAACCCCAAACTCACAGAAGCTGCATTATTCATTCCAAACAAACTTCCCAAAACATGGAGTCCTTCATTGTCTCCCTCCTCTGCCTCTTTGTCTTCCTTATCTATCTCTCTCTACACTTCCTCTTCTACAAGAGCAAGGGCTCCAACCTCCCGCCGGGCAAAACCGGCTGGCCGGTCATCGGAGAGAGCCTTGAGTTCCTCTCCACCGGCTGGAAAGGCCACCCGGAGAAGTTCATTTTCGACCGCATGGCCAAATACTCGTCTCAAGTCTTCAAAACCTCACTTCTAGGTGAGCCAGCAGCGGTGTTCTGTGGTGCAGCATGCAACAAGTTCTTGTTTTCGAACGAAAACAAGCTTGTCCAAGCATGGTGGCCGGACTCCGTCAACAAAGTCTTCCCTTCGTCCACACAGACCTCTTCGAAAGAGGAGGCCATCAAAATGAGAAAAATGCTGCCAAATTTCCTCAAACCCGAAGCGTTGCAGCGCTATATTGGCATCATGGATACCATAGCGCAGCGACACTTCGCTTCGGGCTGGGAGAAAAACGACGAAGTTGTTGTTTTCCCTCTGGCCAAGAGGTACACCTTCTGGCTCGCCTGCAGGTTGTTTGTGAGTGTAGAGGATCCGAACCACGTGGCGAGGTTTGCTGATCCCTTCAACATGTTGGCCTCCGGACTCATTTCTATCCCCATTGATTTGCCGGGAACTCCGTTCCACCGGGCCATTAAGGCATCGAATTTCATCAGGAAGGAGCTGGTGGCGATCATCAAGCAGAGGAAGGTGGACCTGGCTGAGGGGAAGGCGTCGCCGACGCAGGATATACTGTCACACATGCTTGTGACGAGTGATGAGAATGGGAAGTTCATGCACGAGTTGGATATAGCTGATAAGATATTGGGGTTGTTGATTGGTGGACATGACACTGCAAGCTCAGCTTGCACTTTCATTGTCAAGTATCTTGCTGAACTCCCTGAGATCTATGAGGGGGTCTACAAAGGTATATCCTAAATCCTATATATATATATGTATGTACGCACTTGGATAAATCCCATATATTTCTAACTATACTATAGCATGCATATATCACGTACAAATAGCAAGACCTTTAAATTTTACTTTATTTAAATATATATTTTTGGTTTTAGATGGGGTCCTTAGGCATAAATTAAGTCTGAGGGCAAAAATAAATATGAGACACTTTTTAGGTTTAATGGGTCAATTTGAAAATAATCTTTTGTTCTAAATTTATAATTAAAGTTGGATAATGCTTAGCTACTCAGCCGTGAGTAGTTTCACCCTACTCGTCCCTTGTGTGTTCCAATAACAATTTGCTTTAATAAAAAAATAATCCATATCCTCCTGTATTTTCTCGGATCTACCATTGAATAAACATGGATTTTTTTTATTTATTAAAATTAATGTGGTAAATTGTTATTGGAACATACAATGGGTGAGTAGGGTGGAGCTACTTACCGGTGAGTGGCTAAGTATTATCCATTAAAGTTTGAAACAAAAAGAACAAAAGTGGTTTGCTGAGTCAAATGGTGATGCAACTTGGAGTGGATACAATCTTAATTTTTTGATTAATACTTCTTCATGCCTTCAGCAAATGGACATAATCGGATAGTATATGATTAAAAAAGCTATATATAATACACCTCTTTTTGAAGACTCTAATTAAATTTTTGGCGGCTTAATTAGAATAATTCATTAATTAGTAAATTAGTTATTATCTATTAATTTGAACAGAGCAAATGGAGATTGCAAAATCAAAAGGTGGAGGTGAATTGCTGAACTGGGAAGATATTCAGAAGATGAAGTATTCATGGAACGTAGCATGTGAAGTTCTCAGACTTGCCCCTCCCCTCCAAGGAGCTTTCAGAGAAGTCCTCACTGATTTTATGTTCAATGGTTTCTCAATTCCTAAGGGCTGGAAGGTAATTAATCATATTTCACTCAAATACATATGATATTAATTTAATGGAGAATTATCCAAAAGATAAATACCACCAAAGCCTTCAAACTCAAATCAACTATTGTTATTAAAAGACTAACTTAGTAGTACTTATTTACTTTTCAAAATGAGATCAATTTTTAATAATTTATACTTTTACTATTTACATTAATTTTTCCAAGGTGCTTAATTTTTAATAATTCATATTTCTATTATTTACATTAATTTTTCCAAGTTGCTTAATTTTTAATTTATCTTGTTACAGATTTATTGGAGTGCAAACTCAACGCATAAAAATTCAGAGTTCTTTTCGGAGCCCGAAAAGTTTGATCCATCAAGATTCGAGGGAAGTGGACCGGCTCCATACACATTTGTACCTTTCGGAGGAGGACCTAGGATGTGTCCCGGAAAAGAGTATGCCCGATTGGAAATACTAGTATTCATGCACCATCTCGTGAAAAGATTCCGGTGTGAGAAAATTATTCCGGATGAGAAGATCGTCGTGGATCCTATGCCGATCCCGGCCAAGGGCCTTCCAGTTCGCCTCTATACTCGCAAGGATTAAATTTGGCTAGATCCATAACCTACTCACAAGAAATTCTACCTAGCTATACATAAGCATAACAATCAATGCTTGTTCATGTACTCTCTATTTTATAATTATAATTATAATTATAATTTTCCTTATTTCATTTGTTTCCAATATGTCCTGGTTATAAGCCAATGAAGTCTGTTACTAGTTCTACTTCATGTTTAAACTTTAAGGGATAAAAGTGTAAAATGGAGAAAGCAATAACTTTATAAAGATTAAGAAGTAGATATGTGTGTGACCAATTGAGTGTGATACATAGTACTCGCAATTAAATTGGTTTTAAAAGTGTATGTACAACCTTAAGCCTTGTTTGGGTAACTGAGCTTCACACCAGCTTCTGCACACGTGAATATTTGGTTTATATATGGATGCTATTAAAATCTAACGACCCACACTCACTTTATTTAGATAGGATGCTATCTAAATAAATTTACTTTAAATGTAAAAGATGTGTTTTTGTCATATAAATCTTTAAATTTGGCTCAGTACTGACCTTTGCTTACCATTTGTATCATTGACGGTAGATGGGAGGGGTGTGTAACCCCATAATATGTTTTAGGGTAAGTTTTATTTATTTCTCTTAAGGTTTGTCAATATTCTACATAAATTTTTTTTGTACGTTTCATAATTCTACTTATCTCTAAGGTTTTGATTTATGTAATAGATTTTTAACATCAAACATTTCATGAGCAAAACTGATATGAAAGGCATGTGAAATTATGAAATGTAGAAGGGGTCTATGTGAGATATTGATAAATTTCAAGAGAGGTAAATGGAATTTACTCTATATTTTAAATTCAATACTTCAGACAATGTTTTATTACCCATTCATGATATGAAACTTAATACACCAATGACCTTGCAAAGTAGAAGGTAGAAAGTTCAAGCCTCTAAAATAGTAAATAGTAGGTGTATGTGTGTGTTCCCTCCCTATCTTGAAATATATAATTTAGGGGTGGGCCACCCAAAAAAATAATATATATATTTTTATTATAAGCAAATTTAGCCCTGTCCATAAAAAGAATATATATTACTATTATTAGTCAACCCAAAAAAATATTTACCCACCCCATTCAAAAATTTTGGATCGGCCCATATATATATATATATATATATATTTAGTGAGCCCTTAATATTTGTTTCCCCCACAGTCCATGCAAATTATGAACCAAACCACAATCAGGTTAGGACTACTCACTAAAAAAAGGCTTTCATTAATCGATCTGAAATATATATACACGTGCATGCATTTTTGTATGGTTAGTGAAGTTATTATCATACTCTAGTCTATACAGCATGTGATACATTGATTAATAACAATATATCAACATACAGAAATTATGAGATAGTGGACTCTTTGGGCCTCTAGCAAGGAAACTAACAATTTTGGAATTCCTTTGTGAGCTCACAGATCTTCATTATTTCAGTTTTACCCCCAAAAATAATTATGATAATTTATTATACCACTCAAAGAAAAAGAAAAATGACAATTATGAGTCATTTAGTCACTTCTCCTACCTCAAATGGGGGAAGGTGAGGAGTTTGAGTTTCATAATGGGTATTTGTGAGTGTATGAAAGAGTATTTATCTAAATTCGTAAGAATTGTAGTTGTGATATTGCTCTAGTCTCTAGAGAAAGAGAGATACGAGTAACTAAGATGAAATTAGATGGGTTTAAAAACTTTAATTAACATTAATAGCTTTTTTATGGAAACCTATCATTGTAATTAATCTAATAAAGTTGAAATTTCTTAGCCTTTGATTCAAGAAGTAGTAGCCATGGTAGATTAATGTCTCACTAAGAGGGTGATAGCTCAATTGAACAACCTAGCTACCAGCAGTACTGAATCAATGAAGTGGGAGTTTTGGATATATATATATATATATATATATATATATATATATGTAATGTTCCAACTACATTACAATATATCTTCCTCCAAGGTGGTGAAGGACTCTGCAGCTGCTAAATATGACAATTATTGTAATATGTTGGTCTCTTTCTTGCATTTGCTGTGCTTGTCTCTTAGCTTGTAGACCATCTCTCTGTTTGTACCTCTTTTCTTTCTTGGCCTTTATAAAATTTTACCTTCCACTGACGATCGAAAATAAATAAAAAAAGAACGATAAATTACATTGACCTCTTTTTTTTTTCTATATTTTAAAAATCATACCAACCTCCACTTTTACCATTTTGACATTAAGTTATTTTAATCATTTTTAATTAAAAAATTTATAAGGGTAAAATTGGAATTTTAAATCCTTAAATTGCTGACATTAATGGTGTTAATTTGTTACATAATTAAGTTGTCAATACAACTTTTTAAGATACCACTTGAACTAAGTTAATAGTGATTATTCTGCTAATGCTAATTATGAATGACACTATCATAATCTCATGTTTTTATTAATAAAATATTAGAATGAAAATTCTAATTTAATTAGCGTGCGTTATCAATCTCCACTTAACTTGATTTTGTAATGCTTAACAAGCATGGAAAAAGATTAACATACACAAATGAATCTTACAATTGAAGTTTTGAAGTTCAAGTGCAAAACACTAAAATTCTCACCAAGTCTAGAGTTCATTTTCCTTTCTTTCTGTTTGTCACCACCGTGGGAAAGAAGAAGCTGCATGTCCCAAAAAAACATTGGTACGTGTCAGTGTGTGTGTTTGTGTGTGTGGTGGCATATATGCATGCACCTGTTGATGGATGAGTCTCTAGCTCTTTATATTAAGAGGCAGGTGTAACCAACCAACAATGGCAGCATTTCTCCAAGCAACTGGCCTCCTATTAATTAACTACCAAAAAAGTGAACATTCAATTCAATCATCCAAACATTAGTAGTCAATTGTATTAGTATAGAAATCTATGGTCTTTCTAGCTTGCACATGACCCCACCTTACATTACTACTTTTTTCTTCTATCTTATATATCACACAAGAAATTTTTTTTTTTTTTTTGGTAGGATAGTTAGGACACAAATAGTACTCATTATTGTTTGTATGAAGGTTTATTCTTCTTCTGTTTTAAGTTAGGTAAGTATTCACTATATATATATATATATATATATATATATATATATTAACGGAGTAGTATTCACTATATACATTTCACAAATTGGAACTCGAACTCTTATCTCTTTTAGGAAAAAAGAGGGTTATATCATTGGATTAACAAATTTATTGTTTAAGATGCAATTCATCAACATATAATTAGAAAAAAGAATATGCTATTTTTACCAAAGGGTTGAGCCAAATAGGTGAACCGAGGCCCGTTCAGCTGTTAGAAAAAGGAATATACTATTTTTAGCAAAGGGTTGAGCCGAACAGGTGAATTGAGAAAGCCTTGGTTCACTTGTTCGGATCAACCCTTTGCTAAAAATAGCATATTCTAATTTTTAATTATTTGTTGATGAGGGAAATGCTCTATAATTAGGTCCAGAATTACAAATGAAATCCTAATCCGGAGACTATTGATTGGCAAAATACAAGGGAGTGACCCACTCCCTTGTATTTCACCAACAAGAAATTTTTCGTTACGATTTTGGTTAAAATTCTCGGTTTATACAGTTCAACTCAAAATAGAATTGTCTTAATTATCAATTTTTCTTAAAAATAATATTTTGTTGAGTTATTAGTAAAATAGAGAATTGCCCTACAGCCCACAAAGTTGGTAAAATAGGACTTTTATTTAATAATAGGGTAATTTACACAGACCTCTCCTATGATTTGCCATAATTACAGGCAGCACCCTTCCTATTTCAGAAATTACTTGGACCTTTCCTACTTTTGAAAATATCCTACACGGACATCCCTTCCATTACCGTCAACGACGGAAATTGATGACGTCGTCTACTATTTTTTCTAAAATCCCTAAAATACCCTTATCTATATAATTTTATATTATATTTAAAAGATATATATATATATATATATATATATATATATATATATATATATATATAATACACATATATAACCTTATTTCATTAGAGGATGAATCTTCAATAATCATATTTGAATTGGGTTTTTTTTCTTCTCCCAATACCACGCCAAATTTATCATCTTCTATGATCATATATTCATCACCTCCCAATTCTTTCAATCCAGAGTTAGACACAAAAACAGACTAATCCTCCTTTGCCTCCACTTCTTTAACACCAAAACCACCATTGACCTCAGAAACCCTCATTTGATCATTACTCTTGTTTTCAATCTCACATCCATTCACCACACAATCTGATAGTCGAGTGCACCCACATCAGACATTAATGGGAATACTTGTTTTCCTATAGAAGTCAACAAAAGAGACCCCCATCAAATTCCTGAATGTTGGAAAAATTAGAATAAACTTGACTCTACATAGTACTGCTCCAAAAGAAAATATTAACCCTAACTATATTTATGAAGAACATGTAAAAGCCCCTCCTATGGAAGTCAACAAAAGAGATCCCCAATCAAATCCCTGAATATTGGAAAAATTAGAATAAAAACAACTCCGCATACTGCTCCAGAAGAAAATATTAGGGCTAGAAATAAAGATTTCTTCGATATGGCAATGATGATCACCATCATCATTATCCCCTGCTTCTACAATCAAATTCCCTTTCTGGGTATAATCCAAAACACCCCAAGAAGGCTTGATCACAATACAAGGAGGGTAAAATTTTCTTTCCAACCAAACACCACAGCAAGAACACTTCAAACCCACTTCACCGCCATTCTCAACCACCTTCTCTCCTTCTCTCTGAACCACTCCAATCTGCTTCACCAATGGAAAGAAAGCATAATTCCCCGATGGCTCGTCACGGAACTCCGACCGTGAAGATAAGCAATGAGAGAGTCACAAGCATTTGATTTAATTTTCTTGAGTTTTGAGAAAGTTCTAAGCAACCAATTTTTTATTTTTTTTAATAATCATCAACTAATACATCTCCAGTTTGCTAGATTCTGAGTCCATGGTTGCCTAAAGAGATAAAGTGAAGATAGAGAGAGAGAGGCAATAGTGTATAAAAAGCTGATGTCATGCATACTCAATAACTTATTGGGGTAGCTTAGTAATTTCAGATGCCAAGGAGATGGTATTTTAGTAATTTTGATAGCTCCGTTAGTGTATTTAACGGTCCGTCACACATAAGGGAGGTCCATGTAGTATATTTTCAAAAGTAGGGGAGGTCCGCGTAATTTTCGAAACAAGAGAGGGTGCTGCCTGTAATTATAGCAAATCATAG